CAAGGGTCCGCGGGGGGTGAGTTGGGTGCCTGGTCGGGAACTGCAGACGAATAGATGTTGACAGTCATGCGGAGAAACGCCGCAGTCGGGTGGGGACGGGTCGAGCCGGTGTTGGTGCTGGCGAAGGACCATTGACTAACTAGTGCGTAGTTGAGCCAAGGTACAGCGAGTGACCCTTGGGAGTTGTTGTTCTGAGGCCGCAATCGAAGGTGGGTAGCCACCCAAAAGGACCGGGGTATGGTAGCTTCGTTTTTACTCGACAAGGGCTCTCTGGTCGTCACTGTCCCGCGTCCTGCTGGGAGGCGTCAGGACACATGGTGTCTTGCGAGGGGGTTGGCGGCGTGATACAGTCTGATTTAGCCGTCCGAATGCCTGGCTGTCCGAAGTACAATTCAGTCGTCGATAGTGATGTTTCTTGAAATGTTACTGACCAAGTAGGCCAATTTTATCCCCTTATGTAGGCGGGTTCAATTTGTGCTGATCCTGGACGCGCTGCACCCAGCAGCCGGTGCTAGTTGATACATAACTACCACCTTCTCCCTGTCCGAATTTGGTGCATCCGGAAGTGGAGAGGCTCATGCTGCGCTGCATATTTGCTTTCATCGTAGTGTTGAAGTAAAAGTCATGAACTCTAGTAGTGGAGATTCGTGTAGTTGGATGCATGCTTTGGATGTTGATCAGCTGTTCACTGGTTCGCGACAGCTCCTCACAGCAGGTGTTCAGAATCATTCCAGATGAGCCGAATATAAGGCGGTGGGAGCGAGTACACAATCTTGCTTCACACCACTTTGTCACTGCGAATGCTTCGAGGATCACCCTACTTTTTGTGATTTAAGCCATCAATCCACTGTGGATCTGTTGTGTCCTCTGTGTAGAATGTTCTGAGCGGCCGAATTCTAACATCGCTGTCTAGAGTTGAGTTTACTCTATGTCGTTGTCTAGTTTACGAAGACAGCGCAGAACCTACTTCTCCTTGACATTTATCGTGGGCTTGTTACATGGTTCCCTCGAGCTCCACGTTACCTTCCGGAGAGATGTACTTGGTAAGCGTCAAGTTCTTGGGTAGGAAGTGAATGGAGGTTTTACCTGTGATTTTGAGGAGGCAGGTGTATAGGTACTTGTCGGTGTTTTTGGTTTTCCCTGCGTTTTTACGGGTAATATCTTCAGAGTCCTAGCGACATCTCCTTGTCTCTATACCTCCCGAAATGGCATAATTTGGTCTATGAGCCTAGGGACGCCGTAGTTTTAAAGCTCAACTGGGAGTGACTCAGTGTCAGGTGCTTTGCCACCGGAAGTCCGGTGTGCAATTTTGATTATATTTCTGAGATAGGGCGGATGGTTGTGAGAGCCCGCTCAAATCTCCACGCGATACCTTGAATGGTCGATTAGAGTGCTGCTGAACTTCTCAGCCCAGTACTTAAAGGTATGCTTTTTCTTCTGCCTCGATGGTGGTTTCATTGCACTTGAGTAGTGATGCAATCTCTTTGGCTTGGAGGCTGCAGTCCAACTTGATGGGCGCGAAGAAGTTCTTCTTGTAAATGCGCTATATGTACGTACAGTTCTGCGAGTGCTGCAAGCAAATTTCCTAAATTTGTAAATGTTTG